ATATTGATGGTTAAAGACAAAAAGATCCTTTTCCATTCAAAGTTCGATATCTCAGCAAGAAGTAGTGGTATTCAACTTTCCAAAATGCAAATTAAAGCTGAATAAACAAGTTATCTGATCCATATAGTGGCTTAGTTAGAAAAATTTTTTCCAAGTTCGTAGACAAAAAAAACCTGAAAAAATTTCAAAAAAAAATTTTTTTTGGTATTCATGCGGATTGAGCAGAACATGTTGCTTGAAAATTTTTTTGATTATAAGATCTCAAAACTAGAAGCTTCAAGCTTTAAAAAACTTTTTTTTTAATTCCAGTACGACCATTTTCAAGGGAAATACAGCCAGTTAAACAGCTTCAAATTATTTGGAATTTTATTTTGATCCTTTAATTTTTTCCACTATGTTACATCGTAGTTTCAATTTAAAAAAACTTAAGAAAATTAGGGTTTTTATTGTATATTCTTCTTACAATGATGATATTTTTCATGTAAGTGCTTGAAACATATTGATTTTTTACATCAACTGTAACGTAAATAGCCATATTTTTGCAATCTATTATTTCACAATGCATATTATATGAATCTCTAAAACAGTAAGTAGTGGAATTATGAAATTTTTCTTGTTTTTAAGTGAAGTAACTACTCTTACCAGGAATATTTAAAAAGATTAATACGTCTTTATCAAAATTATTTATCTTTTATGTAAATTCAAATTATAGTTCACCAATGTTACAGTATCTGAAAATTGTCGGACGAAGTTCTTCAAAATGCGAAATTCATAAACATCAAGTGGCTGGATTTTGTTCGGTTGTTCTAGTCAGTATTTTTTGATATTTACAATTTTATTACTTGGTGTCATCTATTTTATAATATTATCACAATGACCGCTTCAGAAGTCAAGTAACAGTATTGTATTGGAGCCTACGTTGGAGAAATATACTTTATTCAGCCATATTTTAAAGAGATATAAAAATAAAAATCTAATTTTAAAATTAATATATAATTATAACTCCATGGATATGTACTATATACAGATATATATATACTGTATATATATATATATAAACAGGGTATAGGGGAACCGTTTAATAGCTCGCAGGAAGATTCATTTGTGGTTCATTTCTAATTTGTAGTAATCGCGGAAATTTCACATTTGTTTATTTAATATGCTGTTATTAATTTTGGGAATCTGGAATCCTTCTTGAATTTTGAACTTTTGTTTAATTATCTTTTCTTCACTTGTTGTCTAATTCTTTGTTGATTGTTTGTCTCTTACTTATATATAGTTTTATATTTCTTCTAAATTAGGTAGACTATGACTACTAAGCCATTAATATATTTATTTGAATGTTCTCAAGTCTCAAAAGAGTATTTTATTTCTTATGCATAGCAAGAACCTTTCAGTTACCGGGAAAAAGAACTCATAAAGATACAGCTTGGTTTTGAAAGTCGGCCAATGCATCGCAACTTTCGGCACTCTGGTGATTAATAAGCTACATCTTGAGACACTTCAAGCTACTAGATCTCAACATTAGTGACGGTGCCTCAACACGTTTCACTCCGATGACTGGAATGTCATGCCGCCCTCTTGACGGATTTTGAGGAAACAGACTTCTAATTGATTGACGGTGCCTTTGGTTAAGTCTCTATAAGGTGGCTAATACGTCACACTCATACCTCTCGGAGAACTTCTGAATATTGAGTTTTACGAGTAGACATCATTGGATACTCTCAGAGATATCAAAAGGCCTTGTGTTTATTAGTGGCATTATCATCGCTTCAGTCACACCATCATTAATGGCCATATATCAGTGTAATAGTGTTGTGCTACATCAAACCCTACATTACTTCACTTTCCTCAACTATATACCGTAATATCATTGAGGCTCGATCTTATGACAAAAAACGCAGTGACAGTACATGCTCCTGAGAAATATACATGTGGCTATGTGTGTGTATGTGTGTGTGTGTGTATATATATATATATATATATATATATATATATATATATATATATATATATAGTCGTAAGGGGGCCTCGGAATCTGATCCCTCCCCCCCCGTCCCCATAATTTTGTCCCCTCCCCGTCCCCTCCCCAATTGATATTTTTAAGATTGCATAAAAATCAGAGAAATTCACCGTGTTTTCACCGTGTTTTTGAGTGATTTGATGAAATTTTTAATTTTTCATGGCCCCTCCCCACATCAAAAAATAAAAAATGACCCTCCCCCACAATTTTGGCCCCCCCCCCCCCTCCCCATTTGTTCATTTACATGTTTTTATGCGAATTTTAACAAAATATATTTATGTTTGCATTTTTTTTAATGAATGCCATGTATTTACTTCTAATATTGATAGCATATCAATAGTACAAGTTCAAAGAAAGCTTTAGCTCACGTATTGAAACCTCGCCATGCATACAGAAAGGATGAGTAAACTAAAAGTTAATCTAAAAATTTGGGATGAAGCTTCTATGATACCAAAAAATGCTTTAGAAATCGTTAATAAGACTTTGTGTGATGTATGTGATAATGAAGAACCATTTGGAGGAAAATTAGTTTTGTTAGGCGGAGATTTCAGACAAATTTTACCAGTTATGAAATATTCATTCAAAAACACCATAATAATTAATACTATAAAACATTCTTCTTTATGGCCTTTGTTTACCATATTAAAATTACACAAAAATATGCGTTGCAGTAATGAAAAATTTGCTAAGTTTCTATTGGATATTGGGGAAGGAAAAATTGAAAATTTTATAATACCTAAAGAAATGAAAACTGATAATGTTTGTTCAAAAATATATACAGGGTATCAATTAAGTCCCGGGACGCCTGAATATTTTCTGAAGTACTTCAGTTCTGAAAAAGGTCAAGGTCATTCCTTTAGTAACTTTCAACGCGGAATCCGATGGTGACCTTGGATTTGACCTTAAGATTGACCTTCAAGGTTATTTCAAGGTCAACTTTGTTTTTTTAAATGGGAACCCCTATTTTTGACAACGGCAATCGAAAGAGCGGAAAATTTTACGTCCAAAACGGTATTTTAAAATTTGTTTTCATGGCCTTGAGAAGGTCGATTTAAGGTCAAATGTTTGAAAAACTGCCTAAAAGCGTTTTTTTAATTTTTAAGATATCGAAAAATGGCCTCTACAAAATTTGTTCTGAACAGAGTGGGCCACCCAATGCACCAAAAACCTTTGATCTTCAACCGTCATTTCAAGGTCGAAGTGTTTTTTGTAATGGAAACCCCTCTTTTTGACCCCGGATTCGCACATAGCGCGAAACTCAACACAATACGTTATCCAAACGTCGGATTTCGCGCTATGTGCGAATCCGGGGTCAAAAAGAGGGGTTTCCATTACAAAAAACACTTCGACCTTGAAATGACCTTCAAAATGAGGTTAAAGGTCAAAGGTTTTTGGTGCATTGGGTGGCCCACTCTGTTCTGAACAAATTTTGTCGAGGCCATTTTTCGATATCTTAAAAATTAAAAAAACGCTTTTAGGCAGTTTTTCAAACATTTGACCTTAAATCGACCTTCTCAAGGCCATGAAAAAAAATTTAAAAATACCGTTTTGGACGTAAAATTTCCCGCTCTTTCCGAATCCGGGGTCAAAAATGGGGGTTCCTATTTGAAAAAACAAAGTTGACCTTGAAATAACCTTGAAGGTCAATCTCAAGATCAAATCCAAGGTCACCATCGGATTCTGCGTTGAAAGTTACTAAAGGAATGACCTTGACCTTTTTCAGAACTGAAGTACTTCAGAAAATATTCAGGCGTCCCGGGACTTAATTGACACCCTGTAGAAATTCTAATACTTCTCATTGGTATGACCGAGTGATTTTAGCAGCTCATAATGATGATATCAATAAGTTGAATACTAAAATTTTAAAATATTTGAATGGTAAAATGGAAAGTTATTATAGTATTGATTATGCTACACATAAAGGGGTTGATCAAACAGATCATAATATATATCTCAAATATCCTATAGAAACATTAACTAAAGTAAGAGAAGGTCTCCCATCACATAAATTAGATTTGAAAATAAATGCAACAGTAATGTTGATTAGAAATTTAAATATACATGAAGGATTATGTAATGGGACTAGATTAAAAATTATACAGTTATATAAGTATAATATTGAAGTTCAAATATTAACAGGTGAAAATATGGGGAAGAAAGTTTTTATACCAAAAATAACATTGAACACTGGAGAAAATTCTACGTTACCATTTATTTTATACCGTAAACAGTTCCCTATCATTTTAGCATTTTGTATGACAATTAATAAGGCACAAGGACAAAGTTTTGACTCAGTAGGATTGTATATTGATAAACCATTGTTTTCACATGGTCAATTATATGTTGCATTAAGTAGATGTCGAAACCGTGAAAAAATTCATATTCAAAATAATTCAAATGATGATAACTGTATTCAAAACGTTGTATGGGAAGAAATATTTTTTGATATTTGAAATTATCATGATGAAATGTTAATATAATTAATTAATTAATCCACAAGTAGTACTGTATCGATACTATATGATAAAAGAAAATATGTCAAAATATTGACACTACATGACAAATAAAAAAATTATATTATCATATTATGTATACGCAGTAAGCAAATATAATGAGTTATCGACTTAAAAAAAGGTTTTATAAATCGAGGTATTCAATATAGAACAGTTTATATATTAAAAAATATTTTCAGTGGATTAGGCCTACGGGGGATACCACTATAAAAATAAACGCGCCATGATATTTACCTCCATGGTGGTGTGGAAGTAATATCATTCATTGAATATAATATTATCAGTTCCTATTTTTTAAATTGCAACATGTAACTCAATCTTATTCAACTCTCCTTTGGGGGGTTGACGAGCGGAGCGAGTAGGGGGGCGAAGCCCCACTAGTATATATATATAGGGATATTTATTATAACTATCAATTGTGCAAAAATGAATATGAAATTAATAATAGTGGATATGTAAGTTACCATAGTTTTATCAATGAAAACGGCTGTTTCAATATACTTCGTAACTTCACGCACATCCCTTTTGTATCTAACAGTTATATTTTCTAAAGGACTTTTCAATTGCTTTTGTCGACGTGCTTTTGTACGCCATTCCAGTGTTCCTGAGTTTGCGCAACCTTTCATAGCTTTTGTTCGGGCTTCAAATATTACGTGAGGATGTTTCTGCTGGAAAATAGTTGAGGACATTGGTTAATAAAACTTAAATATAAAATTTATTTATTAATAATAATAAACTTATAACAGAGATAGCAACCGTTCCCATCCGGGTAGCTCACGGCTGTTCGCACAAATTATTTATTTAAAGGGGGGGGGGGGATTTCGGGAAGCGCGAACGTTCCCGCCACTGAATAATGCGCCGAGCAAACGCATTAAATGCACGCAAGAAAAATTATTCGGGATCAGTAGTGATTTAAACAACGACAACAATAACAATATTTCTATTAAGATTAATATAATTCGAAATTAACATTCTTAATTTGGTAACATCAAATCGGCGGGACATATTACGCGAAACGCGCAACGGATCGGCTGCAAATTTGCTCACCGATCCACTAATTGACTGTTCAACATCATCATCACAGAAAAAAAATATTTACACGCGACAAAGATAATTCACTCGATCGCGTAGCTGGCAAGGCTGCCGAGTTACGCACAGCTCAACCGGCACCTCGAACAGGGAGAGACAGAGAGAGATAACATGGCACCAACCTGCTCCGCGCTGCTGGTTTTTGTTATGCTGTCCTTCATCCCTTGGCTCTCCTGTCTTCCTCCGTACACCCTGAACTTGTTACTGTTGATGCTGTTGGTGTTAATACTGTTGTTGCTGTTGTTGTAGTTATTGCTATTATTCGTTATTGTTGTTGTGGCTATTATTATTGTTAGTTGTTGTTGAGTATGGCTATTGTTACTGTTATTCTTGTTAGTTGTTATTGTTATAACTGTCTGTTATTGTTGCCGCTCTTCTCTGTTCTGCAACACAAAATGGCTGCACGCGCGCACAATCCGCGACACCTCGCCAGTTTTCCCACGTGCACCGATGCCGGACCTGCTGCACTTGCAGTTGGACTCGTCTCCGATAACAATCCTCACTCGCTTACTTTCGCGCATCGAGCACGTATCTTTCACGATAACTATCGGTGAGGGCGGGAAACTCACAAAAACTATTTCTATAAATTGTGCGCGCGGCGATCGGTCCAAAGGCTCAAACTCAACTCCCGATTCCTCTCCTTCCATCGCAGGGTGCGCACGCAGTTTTGTTAGCGTTTGTCTCTCTCTCCTCCACTCTTTTCTCTCTTCTGCCTCTCTCTCTCCCTGTGTCTCCTTACTTGCTGCTCAACGCTTGAAATCGGGCTCTCTCTCCAGCCCGCCATCGCCACCTTCGACGTGGTCTTCTGAAAAATGTATCCAGATGGCCGTCATCACCGAAAGATACGGGCTGGAGCCAAGCACGTTCCGGCAAAGAAGAGGGCCCTTCTCGTCGCCAGCTCAGGTGCATCAGAAGTACCTTCCTCCGTGCACGCTCTGGAGCCTGTCATCCAGCGGCTGGAACCACAATCGGAGACCAAAGCACCGGTGGAGGATCAATCGGCGCCAGGCCGACAGGCCTGAACTGGATCTGGATACCACGAGTCGACCATGTTCTTGAATGCTGCAGTGTCCTCGGGGGTACCGATCCCATGAGATAACGCATCAGGGACATGGTGGAATGCCTTTTTGCGATACACCAGCTCGAAGTCCCATTGCTGTAGCTCAATGCCGCCCGCATGATCGCAAGTCGCCCGAATAATCTTTCTTATTTTTCAACCAAGTCAGAGCCGTATGATCGGTGACTGCAATAAAATGCGTGCCCTGGATGAACGGCCTGAACTTGTGAATGCCGAACAGCAAACTGAGATATTCGAGCTACGACATGGTGTAGTTCCTCTCCTGCTCATTCAGTGTGCGACTTGCGTAACACATCGGGCGATCATACCCCTCCTCGCGTTTTTGCATCAGACAAGCTCCAAGTGCATAATACGACGCGTCGCAGTGCATATAGAATATCCGGGTAAAATTCGGACGGATCAGCACCGGGGCTTCAGTCAACGCTCGCTTCAGCGAGTCAAACGCTTTTGTTATTGCTCGAAGCCTCAGCGCCATGCCTCGTTCTTGTGCAGTGGCTTCGTTAGGGGTACTTTCAGATGTGACTCGTGTTCGATGAACCTGGAGTATCATCCGCACATTTCCAGGAACCGACGCAACTTCTTGATGTTTCGCGGAGCTGGAAAATCTAGAACGGGCTTTACACGGCTGGAGCAACCTGTTCTCGTTGAGAAGATACCCCATAAATATCACACTAAAACAACCAAACTCGCTCTTTTCGACGTTGATATCCAGCCCCGCTTGGACCATGCATCCTAGCGCTTTCTCGAGCCATACCAAGTGATCCTCGAACGTTTCTGTGACTATAATCACGTCGTCGAGGTAGTTGAACACGTGCAGCTCGAAAACAGGTCCAAACAGCGCGTCCATCAAGCGCATAAAGGTTGCAGGGAAATTGACCAATACGAAGATCATCCGGTTACACTCCTAGAGACCACAGCCAGCAGCCCCAAACGCCGTATACTTCTTGCTATCCTCTCTTAAGGGCACTTGAAGATAGGCATTCTTGAGGTCGATGTTGGAAATGTACCGGGCCTCTCGCAACTTATCGAGTATCACATCTACCCCCGGCATCGGATAAGCGTCGATGCCAATGGTTTTGTTCACCAGACGCAGATCGATGCACAAACGGTAACTCCTATCGTACTTTTTAACGACCACCAGTGCACTACACCACTCGCTCTGAGACGGACGAATAAACTTCTTTTTGTACCAGTCCTCGATCTTCTGAGGGATAAACTCTGTAACCTGCGGGGAGTACCTGCGCATGGGTGTCTTGATCGGTCTAGCACTTTGCACATCAATGACGTGCTCGATCAAGTCCGTCTGCGCAGGTGACTCTTTCGGCACCACTCGCCGCACTAGCGCTTCGACTTGGAGTCGCTGGGGCTCCTGCCGTGCCGAAAGTCCTCCCCCTTCCACAGTTAGAATCAGATTTTTTGATCGGTCGGAAAAGTAAATGCGATTTCTCACTCTTTATACAAAATGGTATCACATTTTTCAACCTTCGATACTCCATGCGTCCCCCATGGCATCCATTCGGAAACCAAACGCACGGATAAAGTCTTGTCCAAGAAACATATCGCACTGCAGTTCCTGCTCACACGCATATACCTCGAGTGACCGGAACCGACGGAGCTTCCAGCTCCTTCGTCGCGTTCCTAACACTTGGAGCACGGGCTGCATCTGCTGATAACCTAGAGAAACCCATGGTTTCACCCAATTGCTTATCTGACTCGCCCGGCGCTTTAGGCCCACTTCCTCACATGGCCTCACGGCGCCTAAGGCTCCCCTGTCCTTCACCCATTTCTCGGCATTCCTCATCATCAGCCACCTGCCAACAGCTCTCAAGACGCCTTTCGAGCTCCTCTCAGTACCCTTCGTGCACCTTCGTCACTTTCGGTTCCTGGACTCAGACCCTTAGGTCGAGTTCGTCGTGCCCGAACCCTGCAGCTCACTGCAAGCTACCGCAGAGAACGTTGAGCTTCCGCTCCCCGCAGACGGGTTTTCCGCCAGCCTACGGATTGGCTTACAGTTCGCACAGGTGTTGAATGTACGGTTCGACGCCTGGCAGTTTTGGTACGACGCTCTCGTCCGACCCAGAGGAAAACCCTGTGCATAATGTCCCGATTGATGGCACCGGAAACAAATTGGGCTCCCCTGTGCCTAGCCAGTCTGTCGTCGGCCGGAGCTAGAGCACTCAGAGATCCTATGGCCCTCTCCATTACAGTCATAGCACTTCCCCTGAAAATTAGCCCGGTCGCGCCCGGTCCTTGGGCTCTGCTAACGCCCCATAACCTGCACCGGCACCTGCAATGATGGGGATGCCTGCAGGTTGTCACCTGTGCCCCCGGCATTTCTCTGGGTCTTAGGGTTGGGCTTTCGCTGAACTACTCGCTACACCCTGACTCCCCCCCCCCGAGTCACTACCAGATGATTGCCCGGTCACGGCAGTACCGGAGGTTTTCACCTTCTTCTTCTTCTTACTCGTAGCCTTAGACTTCTCTGCCGCTGTCACTTCCACCTGGGCAGCCACAGCATTGGCTGCAACGTGGGACTTCTTAACCTTTCCCCGTTAAGCGGCGTCCTCAACCTGCAGGTTTTCCTTGGCAGAAGGAGGGTGCCACCTCCTCTCGTACACACAGTGCTTTTCCAGCTTCTCCCCATAATACTCCAGATTACGCAGAGTGTGCACCGTCTTTTCCCGGATGTACCAACCGTACTCCGGAATGAGGCCCGCTTTTGCAAAACGGACCTTCTTTCTTTCTGATGGGGGAGGCCTCATTCTCTTGACGATGCTCTCGAACACAGTCAGGTAGTCCCCGATGGACTCATCCTGCGCCTGCATCCGACGAGCCAGTATATCGCACAGCTTCTCCCTCAACAGAGCTCGACAGTAATAACGGCAAAAACTGTCCGTAAAATCTCGGAACGTACGCCACGTGCTGAGTTTGTTGGCCAACCACACCTTCCTGCAATCCAGAAAAATTACGTTCAGAGCTGGCAGCACCTCACGATCTGGGAGCCTGTACATCTGGACGCAACGCTCGAGCTTCTCCAGGAAACATTCTACCACTAAACCCAAAGCTCCCTTGAACTTTAAGTTCCACGTGTGGAACGCTGTCACGGCGTCCGCCCGTCTTCCGTTCAGGCGCCCTCTAGATCCACCCCGAGGGGAGTCGCCAGAACTCGACCGGGCCCGGCCGCCGCGACGGGACCGGCATTGGCGACGAGAGCGTGGCCTCTCTTCATCATTTATGGAGCTCCACTCGCTCACCTCATCCGACTCCGAGGAACTCACACGCATCTCTCATCGACTTCTGCTTGGTCTCCTATCGCGACGTGGCCGCACCCGGTCCAGCTCGCTAGATGACTTTGGCGACGACGCCGGAAAGCTATGCGTTGGTGTCGGCCTAATTCGACGCTCCCTTTCACTCGTACCCGAGGCGGCTATTAATCGCTCGAGTCGATCCGTTATCAGTAGGTAAACCAGAGGGGCCTCAACTCAGAGGGGTATCAGC